TTTAATTGTTGCTTTTTCTTTTTCTTTTCAGAGTTCGTTTCGTGTAAGGATTTTTGTAGATCCATCCGAATTGATCTGCTACGTGAGAGAAAGTATTCTTGAAATCATTCCGAGTGTTCGTCCAAATACCGTAACCCTCGCTTCTGACCGACACAGTATGCCCCGCCGACGGAAAGACATGGACCTAGACAGCGATACACTCTCGATGGAATCCACTAAACACAAGCCCGTCCAAAGAAGTGCTGCAAACGCAAGGGAGCGAGCGCGCATGCGCGTCCTCAGTAAAGCGTTCTCCAAACTGAAGACAACGTTGCCTTGGGTTCCGCCGGACACGAAACTATCCAAGTTGGACACTTTGCGTCTAGCCGCTAGCTACATTGCTCACCTCCGACAGATATTAGACACTGAAGAGGTTGAAGGATCACAACATGGATATATACATCCTATTAATCTAGTAAGTCTGAAATTAACTTGATTTTATTACCGTTGGATTTCCATTAAATTGATTAGGTCCCTACGTAATCATTTTTTAAAATATATATACACACACACACATACACACACACATGTGTATGTATGAGTGTATAATAGTAAATAAAATAAAATTTTCATTTATCTATCGCTTCTGTGAGTTTAGCTGATATTATATCCACTTGTCAGGGAATTTCCTAATAAGACTTTCCTTTCTGACGAATATATGTAATCTCTGAGTAACTCAGAGCGGGAACAGATAAGTGAACATTTAATTTTATTTCTTACTATTAATGCTCTATCTCTTGATATAAAGCACTATTATTTATAAAGACTGTTAACCTTAAAATTATTATCTTCCAGAAATATCTTGATCAACGCCTGGTCAATGGTTTTTATTATTGTTATATATATGTATACACCCCTGGTCAAAATCTTAAGACCAGTTACAAAAGGGTTAAAAAATATATAAAATATTACCCTTAGCCATTTTAAAATCTGAAATTTAATACTGGAAATAAGCTACGTAGATGTCTACACGCCTGAAGCTATGAGCACACTGACTAGTTCTAAAATTTTGCCCAGTAATTTGTTTTTTTTCTTACACATGGTCTTATCTTTATGACCAACCAAAAAAAAATTCCTGTTTTCAATGTTTGTTTAAATTAATCAATTAAAAGCTTAAAATTTTCACTTGTTTGTTGATAAACTACATTTTCTAATTAAATGTAAATGTTTCGCAAATATATTTTGATTAAGGTAACAGTATTTTACCTTTTTTTTTTTAGCCCTTCTGTATCTGGTCTTAAGATTTTGAGCGGGGGTGTATAATGACTAGTGCTTTCTCCCTTCCGAGTACAGCTATTGCTTGTTATCGGACCATTCCACGGGTTCACCAGTGCTCGACACGAAAGTATCTTTTGATACTAACCAGTGACCCGCAGTCAATGCTCCATTGTTTTAAGTTTCGTTGGGTTTAAGTACCATTTGGACCAATGTCCAGTAATTGCACTTTAAGGACTTTAAATCATTGGTAGAACGGATGTCACAAAAGCTGCTCGGGGATGTGCTTGAAGCTTTTAAGGTGAAGAAATGTTTTAACAGAGACCATTACCACTCTCTGAACAAAAGAATCCCCCAAAAAAAAACCCCAGACCTAGTCGACATGATTGGATGCAATCAAAGTCGCAGATTTTATATCAGTGTACCTTCTTTTAGATCAGTCGTTCCTAAACTTTTTTTTTCAGAGCTGATTTTTCGGAATTAAAATTTGCTCGCGCCTCAACAGATTTTATGTGATAAACAGTTCATTTAAAAATAAAAAAAATGAGAGAGAGGTTTAAAGGGAGATAACCGCGATTCAAACAAAGAAACAAAGAAATTTCGTTGTCTTTCAACCAAACCTGCATACCGGAAATGACATTGTTACATTATCTTTGACACTCAGAGCCGAAAGAAAGAAAAAAGAAGAAAAGGAAGAGAGAGAGAGAAAGAGAGAGAGAGAGAGAGAAGGAGACAAGAAAATGATGGAAAGTAGAAATAATTACGACATTCAACAAATGCGCACATACACACGCGTACACAAACAGAAACATAAACACACAGAACCAAACAGATAGAAAAAATCAGCCTAACACAAATATCTATTGCATAAATTAATCTTTAACTTAGTATAAAAATAACGAAAATGAGAAAATTCGCAGTCAATTGCTGATACCACGTGACGAGTTGATAGAACGATTGCGAAAAAAGTTCATCTACGAAACTCCATAGTCGAAATGCTGCATATAGCATAAACTAGCAGTAGAGCCCGGCGTTGCCCGGGGATGTAACAGTAAGAGATAGATCAAGTATCGACCATCATAAAGACTGAAAAATAAAATTGAAAAGATTATTGTTTAAGGTTGACGGACACGCATGTCTTAATTAGTTTTTTTTTTTTTTCTACGAATTGGTCAAACCCAAACTCAAACAAAAACATTGTTTTGAATCGTTATGAGTCTACCGATTGAATAGAATTTTATTATAAACAATTGTCTTGTAAATGGAATTTTAAAGCATTCTGAATGTAAAATAAAGAAAAAAGTGTGCAAGACAATAAGAAACACTATCTGCCAAAAAAAAAAAGTGAAGTTTTGTTGAAATTGGTTGAAAAATTTAGGAAATCCGATCCATATATATACACACACACAACACACACACACACACACACACACACACACACACACAATCTGCGTTTTATAATAAGTAAGATATATATATATATATATATATATATATATATATATATATATATATGTGTGTTTCTGTGCGTGTGTGTATACGCGTGTGTGTGTGGGTGTGTATGTATGTATGTGTGTGTACCAGGCAGAAACTTTTAATTGAATTTGTTGAAACAGATGGTTTTGAACTGTCACTTCATCTCACTCAGATGATGCTAAAATCTATTCCAATACTACAATAGCATATTAACTATTAACCCACTTTCATTTCAAACCCCAAAATGGTCGAAAGTACTCGAAACATTACATACAATTTCGGCAAATTCCTTTGCAACATTCTATTCGACGTATATATCATTTTCGGGAAAAGCAAAATACGAATACTAAATTTCTACCCTGAAAATGGCTCAACATAATATTCTGACTGTCCTGCAGATCTGTACATGAATGTATAACTAGAGCTAATTGCAAAGCATTTCACTTGCATGCACACGCGTACACATGTATATGTATGTCTAGCTGGCCACTCGTATTCCAGTATATCCGTCTACTAGGGCGGCTAGCCAATCCCTATTGCAGACATTTGCTCAGGCACATTTTGTGTTTATTCAACATCCACAGAGCCCACCTGTAATTTATACTGCAACTATGCTGAGCAGACCTTAGTTACAGTTTCTGGGAAAGAGCGTGTTATGTACGCTCAAACCCTCGGCCACGATGACTTGTGACTTCGTGTTAGCACAGCTATCGACGGCACCCAAGGGTTCCATCTACCCAATTTCACTCATAAATCTTGGGTCAACCGGTGATATGTCTCCTTCCTGACAAATCAATCATGGTGAGATTCGAACCCGGGTCTCATGGTCAGAATGTGAATGTTCTAACCACTCGGCCAGGCGCACACATGTATACATACACACACATATATGTGCATGTACATTTACTTACATAGTTGTGTATTTGAATAACAGTCCCTCTCTCATATATGTTTCATTTAAAATAACTGACAAAGTATTACTGTTAAATATGTTAAATGTTTTTTTTCTTGTATACAAACAAGAGAATACTTTTTCGGATTTAGTATTTGTAGAGATTATCCAAATGATTATTTGTTTCCAGCGCTTTCGGCTAATCTATCGGGCATTTTCACGGATTTTTAATGGGTTACTGTATATGGTGTGGAAGTTGTTGAATAGAACACGTCATTTTAATTCTAAAATAAGACCATGCATTATATCTATCTATCTATCTATCTACGCTCATATACACAATATACGCCCCACACATACACACACAAGCAGACATGTATATGTGTGCGTGTTTTTACATATATATACACACCCCGATTATTTTAAATGCCAATTATATTCTTTAAATTAAAAGACTCTAATCCCAGTATAATATATAGTCAATCAGTTATGTGCCTCTTGCGTGATACACGCTTAAACGATCATGTATCTTTAGATACATGACTCACGAGGCAGATTTTTTTGCCGCAGTATGTTGCCATTTCTTTCTGCGGTAGACCAGTTGCCAAATAAGGCTATAGAACCCGGTATGTCCTGCTATTTTACTCATAGCTGGGAGGAGAAGAGGATTCACACTTTTCCTAAGGTAGTAGCACGTAAGAGAATGTAATGAATTCGACTGGAATTCGAACTCGGCTCTCCGATTCCTCAATCAAATCGCCATCCATTATTCCACCGTATAATTGCTCCGATATTGTAATACTTTTAAAATATAAATTACGTAACGATCAGTCTATAGTCTATACTCAGCACCTGATGATTGCGTTGAGCATGAAACTCCGAATCATGTTATCAGTGAGGGGGTTACATGTATATTTATTAACATTTAGTTAATAGCTTTGTTGTATTACATCGAGCACTATTTTATTAACACCAACACTATATGTACGATGTGCGATATATATGTGTGTGTGTGTATGTATGTGTGTGTGTTTGTGCGTGTGTGTTTAGGTATGTGTGTGTGTATATATATATATATATACATACGCATATATACACAAATATATATATACGCACATATATACAATATAAATACACACGCAAATGAATACACACACACACATATATATATATATATAGGTATGTATGCATGTATTTGCATAAATAAATCGTCTTTAATGTTGGGAATTCGTTACAGAAACAAATTCTAACAAATGATAACCATTTTTTTTCTTGAAGCTAGAAAAGAAAATAAAACCATAAGATCAGATAGAATTAATCAAAGACAAAATAGTCTAATAACAATCATTTAGGCAATGTCTACAATTTCAGGGAAGACATGGCCCACCCAGACGGAGCCGCCTTTACTTCACTCAACTGTGACGCTAGGGTATCTGGTAGGCAACCATTAACATGCCACGCCATGAGCTTAATGGTCTATACTTGCCACCAGATCGGAAACGCTCGCTTTGGGGGAAGATTTGGCCATCGTTATCTCTTGTCGTTAATTTGCCTTTGTATACGAAATATATTCTTTGGTGCCTCTCCTTCCTTCCTTCCTTCCTGCCTGAATTACCACCCTTCTATCTATCTATCTATCTATCTATCTATCTATCTATCTATCTATCTATCTGTGTGTGTGTGTGTTTTGGCGTGTGTGCGCGTGTGTGTGTCAGTCTGATTCTATCTATCTATCTATCTATCTATCTATCAATCTATCTATCTATCTATCTATCTATCTATCTATCTATGTGTGTGTGTGTGTTTTGGCGTGTGTGTGTGTCAGTTTGATTCTATCTATCTATCTATCTATCTATCTATCTATCTATCTATCTATCTATCTATCTATCTATCTATGTGTGTATGTATATGTCAGTCTGATTCTACCCTATCTATATCTGTTCCTATCTATCTATCTATCTATCTATCTATCTATCTATCTATGTTCCTTATCTGTTTATATATCTATCACAGTATATCCATTATCTATCTATCTATCTATCTATATCTATCTATCTATCTATCTATCTATCTATTTCACTCTTTCTTTTGGCATGTTTCGTTTTCGTTTTCCTATCTTTTGCAACATGTCAATTTGTACATATCTGAAAAAAAAAAAAGAAAAAAAAGGAATTCCAATATATATGCAATGTATGTAATTATGTAATATTTGTATTTATATGAACGACGTGTGTATAAATGAACACAACAAAATAAGTGTACATATTAAAATGAACGGATCCTTTTGTGAAAATATTGGTATCTCTGTATCTGTGCTCATAAACGCGTGCATTGCTATAGACATACATGCCTGGTATGCGTGTAATTGATGGTATGTCAGTGTATAAAAACACACACGCACACAGACAAATATATGTCGGTGTGTGTGTGTGTGTGTGTGTGTGTGTGTGTGTGTGTGTGTGTGTGTGTGTGTGTGTGTGTGTGTGTGATAGATGAAAAACGCATCTTTGTAGCTGGGAATCAATTACTTGCCGCAAAATTGAGTTACGAAGCACATAAACATTTATGCATGATAGTGGAAGCCGACTCGTGACCAAGTAAGACGACCCCCCAGGATTCATAACTCCCAAAGAAACATGTCAAAGATTATTTCTATGTCGTTGATGATGTTTCAAGTGGTTCACAATACCGGCAAGTCCAAGAGTTTCTTTAGGTGGATAAAACATTTCAGCATAAATTTGTCATAGCATCAGTGGCACAACAAAGGTTGAGACGGTTCGAAACCAACAGAGATTCAGGTTTTATATATGAATTTCCCCCCCAAACAAGAATCAGAGGCCCTTACTCCCAACTATGTCCTATAAAGAACTAAGGGTCCCTTACACCTTGTTGTCTTTCTACACACCCGGGCAATAGATACACCCACAAAAACTTAACGTACTCCATCCGAAACATACTAGTAGAAAATACAAATATAATAACCTCATCCACATGTAAAAAAAGATTCAAAATATTAGAAGCCCTAATAATAAAAAAGAAAAACCAATACTTAATAACATTAACTACGAACACGGCCACAATGACCGTGTTTGGAAAGTAAAACATTCCTATAAATTCATACAAATACATACGCCACCCTGAAAAAACACATACAGTTAAAAATAAAAAAAATAAAAACCGTGCTTGATAATGGCTGAAAGAATAGCCGAAAGCGCTCGGATATGCAGAAATTTTGGGCAGTTTTTACACGCTTTATGTTATTCTGTAGTGCCAGTCCACAATATTCAAAGAAGGATGCTCTTTGTCAAGACCCTCAGGCTTCACTTGTTCAAAGCCTTTTTTCGCCAGTGATCTTAGAAAGTGGTTGTATACTGCTGACAGTTTAAATATTTCTGAATCGGTTTGGCGCCATCCATGACATCCGTATAAAAGTCTTGATCTGAGAAGGTTATTTAAGAACATGACTCAAGTTTTCAGGTTGATGTTTTGGTTTTGTGGCAATTTGTGGTATTGGGTGAAACTACTTTTGGCGATTTTTTATGGTGGATTCAGGGTAGGTGCCATCACTGCTTTCATTCCAATTCTTGATCATCATTTCACCTTTGGACAGCTTTATTTTGAGCCCTGTTTCTTCTAAGTAACCTGAATTGTTCGGAGGAAGAATCCAGGATGATCTACTATGTGCTAAGATAATTTTAATATCTTCCAAAATATATATCTTGGCTTTCGATTTTCGAAAATATTTAGGAATCAAATATGTAATAGTTAAAGCATAATAACCGAGTAACTTTTTTGCAGGTTGGATGAAATAGGAAAAAAAATCATATTTTGACTCTTACACGTGTAATCAGAGATCAACTGAAGCCTGGGTGTTAACCTATCTAATCGAATACCAGTTCTGAATTTGTAGTATAAATATTACCACACTTTTAAATAAGTAGAGATAAGAAATCCTTAATTGCCAAATTATTGATGTCATCCTTGAAATTGCAGGGAAAACAGTGTCAATGTTTTAGAAAGAAAGAAAGATGAGAATCAAAAGAATTAAGGAGAGAGGGAGAGACTTAAACTGACAAACAAAGAAGAACGTATGCATTAGAGAGGGAAAGACGGCATTTTTAAAAACAATGTCTTTTTGAGCGGGAGGGAGGGAGAAAGAAAGAGAATTTCAAAATCTCTGTACATTAGAGAGAAAGAGAAAGAAAAAGTGAAGAGCTAATGTTAGGTAGCACGTTGTAGAGAAAAATTCATGTCGACGATGAGGCGAGCTAAGAAAATCAGTTCATGTCTGACATTATCTCAAATTCACTTGAATTTGTAGCCATATTCGATAACCAACGTCTGTCCGGTGAGATAGCTGTGAAATTTAGAACCCACGTTACGCACCATCCACGGAGAGTTGCAACTCAAGTTTTAGACACACACGCACCACCCATATATATATATATATATATATATATATATATATATATATATATATATATATATATAGAGAAAGAGATGAACATAGTGGTTATGGTAGATAACCGAGATAGAGAAATGAAGGCTTCATCGTAGTCTTGTGGTTAGGGAGTGGGATCATTTGTAGGGATTTCAATCCTCATATGCGCCCCCTCCATACCTGTAGCCTGCAATCAAACTAAAATATTAAACAAGAACCCATGTCTGTCACCTCGTTCTCGAGTATGACCACTCGAAGTTATCATTGCAAAAATCAGTTGGTGACTTATGATATCAGGCAATGTCGGTGTATGACATTTTTAAAGTGTGCTACACTGGGACTAGTAAACATCATTGGATGCTGTCAAGTTGCAGGGGTCACACCAGTTTTCCTTCTCCTAGTTGGATAGCTTAATGTGTGCTAAGGTGTCCAAAACCCCCAGTGGGTTTATCGGGTGCCTGGATACCAATACGTTTGTTTTAGATTTTAGATGCTTGTTGATTTCATGAAAGGGTTCATCTGCCTTTTGACAGGTTTTATTTTTAATAAAGTTTGGTGTCTAGCAACGCTCCTTACCAGTTCGGTGTTATAACTGGTTTAGTCATTGATAATCCGACCATGCAGCTGGTAGTACTGGGTTACATAACCTCCTCCCAATTGCTAATGAACTAATCCAACAACACAGCCTGAATATTCAAAAATATTATCTATAAAAATTAAGAAAAATAAAAAGCAACCTTCTTCAAACCAAAATACAACAATGATGACGGTTGACAACAATTGAAAGCGCTCGGCAACAAAAAAAAATGGACTGGAGTCATTTTCAAGAACTTTGACCCAAATACAAAGAAACTTGCGAGAAAGTAAGAAAAAATCGAAAGAAAGATTATTAAACAGAAAAGTTCCGTAGACTTCAATAACACACACACACACACACACACACACACACACACACACACACACACACACACATATATATATATATATATATATATATATATATATATATATATATATATATACTCGAATCTCTCGTATCAGGATCAAGCAGATCAGTTCCCAGGAAACCGACAGCCCGACAACAGCACATGAGATTTGATTCTAATGGTGAAGGTTTCGTGCAAAACCATTCACCCTTTTTGAAGGGCCAAATACAGAGACCTGGTGCACTACGTGCCACAGGGTCCCTAAATGACCCTCCGCAGGTTTTGAATTCAGAGTTGTCCCTCTCCTAGACCAGTTGCCATCCAAGGCTATAGAACCCAGTCTGTCCTGATATTTACCCATAACTGGAGGGAGAAGTGGATTCACATCAAGGGTATTAGTACATAAGTAAATGTTACGGATTCGATTGAATTCGAACTCAATTCTCGATTCCTCAATCCAAGCCTCTATCCACACACACACACACACACACACACACACATATATATATATATATATATATATATATATATATATATATATATATATATATATATATATATATATATATATATATATTAAATAATTTTAGACATATTATGCCTATTTATTTTGTTTTCGATCCTTTCAAGTCTACGGATTAATTTCTTGGTAGCTGTAGAAAACTGTTCAAGAAAAATACCAACATTTTCTTTCAAATAATTTTTATTTTCCCAAGTACCATTTTGGAGCCATGCATGACATTCCGCATGAAAGTCTTGATCTGAGAAGATTATTTAAGAATATGACTCGACTTTTCAGGTTGATGTTTGGGATTTGTAGCAATTTGCGGTGTTGTGACACAATTTATTCTGTGTTCAATTTCTTTTTCTCCTATACTTAGATTTGTTATAACTGATTCATACGCCAAGGTACTTGAAGTGTTTAGTATTTGCTAATTCCACATCCTGGATTTTTATGATGGCTTCAGGGTAATTGTCATCACAACTTTCATTTCAATTCTAGATTTTAGAATCTAAAATTTTAGATTTATTTCTGTAAATTCAAAACATTTTTAACTGTTCGTTTTACTGCGTTATAAAGCGTTCTAGATTTCACATTCAAATTTCGCGTGTTTTTCCCACATTGCAAGTGAGGTAATTTTTTACTTTATTTATTTAATTATCACACACAAACACACACACACACACACACACACATATATATATATATATATTAGGCTGTCACACATGAAAATAAGCACTTTATAGGAAATTAATAAAAGGCTTCTGAAATGTTAAATAACTAATTTATTTAATTGAAATAGGCACCCTATTGATGAATGACTGTTCTCCAACGTACCTCTAAATTCTTGATACCATCTTAAAAAAAATTCTCATTCTTTGATGTGATAAACACTTCAAATGTTTCCATTACTTCTTCCTTATTGGGGAATATTTTATTGCGTATGAAAAGCTCAAAAGGCTTTTAAAAGTGATAATCAGTAGGAGAGATATCAGGTGAATATGGAGGACGAGAAATATTTTCATAATTCAGGCTAGACAACTTTTGGGCAGCTGATCAAGAAGCGTGCGGCCGTGCGTTGCGGTCGCAGTAAAATTGCGCCATCCTTATTCATAAGTCTAGGATGTTTGGGTTTTTTTCCAGTTTTTCGTGCATACACTCAATTTCTCCACAATACGAGGTTGCTGTTATTGTTTTCCCTTGAAGCAAGAATAAATAATGAATAACCCCTTTGAAAGACCACCACACAGTAGCTATTAACATTTTAGGGTGCAGTGGAGGTTGTGGGCATTGTTTTGGTGATTCATTTGCATCGACTCACTGGCCTACTCTCTCACTGTTGTCAAAGAGTATCCATTTCTCATCGGATGTAATGATTCGATGGAAAAAAATTTTTCCAGTCGAGAAATCAACAGAACGCACACCACAAAGCGACGGGGCTTTTTTTACACCCATTCAGTTCATGTGAAACAAACCTATCCATTTCTTTACTTTTCTAATTTCTTTCAAGTGACGAGAAACAATTGTTCGAGATGTTTCCAGTTTTCAGACCGTAGTTCTCGGATTTTGATCAACCAAAACATCCAGGTGATCATGTCAGATAACCGACCAGGGTCTTCCTTTTGGTTTATTTTCAGGGCTATAATTTCCCGAACAAAATTTCTGAAACCATCTCTGTACAGTTGTGATTTCGACAATACCATTACTAAAGGCCGCTTTGATGTTCCGAAATGCTTCAGAGGCAGAATGACCTAATTTATTCTCATGCAGTAAGATTACTCGACATTGTTTCATTGTAATCTTTTTCATTGGACTTATGAGTAACAATATATTGAAAGAAAAATTATCTGGAAAGAAAAAGAATCAGATTTTTTCATATACTAAGGAGATTACTTCATTAGACGACCGAATCAACAACCAACACAAAAATGCGTCATTTCATGTATGACAATATAGATAGATAGATAGACCTAGTGAGCCAGACAAACCTTGACAAACCTACCCAGGTTTCACCTAAACGGATCGTCAGGGAAAGCCGGCTAAAGAGGCAAAAGAAAAACAGCATATTTATAGGCGATAATCAAATCATACCACGTGACCAAGAAAAAAGAAAACAACACAAGAACACCGGGGTGGGGGTAAAGGTTTGTCTGGCTCACGAGGTTTATCTACGTCTGCTCTATGGTTGTATTGAGCTCTTTCGTTAGTTGTTTACTCGTGTCGGGTTTTTTTTCTTTGGGCTTTAAACCTGTATCTGTGCGATTTTTTTCGACAGACTTTCATGTTTCTAGCTCTTTCTTTTTTTAAAACCTTTTTTTCCTTCGAGATTGATTTCATTATTGGCAATTCAAAAATTCGAAGGTTTTTCGAAACGAGTATAGTCACCTATATATATATATATATATATATATATATATATTAATGGAAAAGAAAACCCTGCCTTGTGTCTGAGGCATAGTCTTAGGGAAATGTTAAATGTGTCTTTTGAAGTTTCCTTCGATTATTATTTATTAGATAAGTCAATTTGAGAAATTCAGAAACTAGGAAAATAGGTCAGACAGGAACTTACGAAAAACAGCATTGGTCAACCTTCAGACACTTGTTTTTCTTTAATTTTACATTATTTCTTCTTACTATAAATGTTGTATTTTAGTGAGTATAAACATTTTTTAAATAGAGTAATTGTGCCTTGCTTTGTTGTAATAGCTTCCCGTAGCATAATAGTAAAGTAAGCTTGGCATGAAAATGATTTCTCAGATTAAAAAGATATAAATTCTTTCTAGACATGAAAAATGTCATTTTTTTGGACAGCATAGTTACAGGCAATGGAAAATGGATTTATTACAAGAAAGCAAAACGAAAATTTTTCCAAATAAGCATTTTTTTTCTTTTTCGTCGTGTGTATTCAAAATGTTTTGCATTTTCGGGTACGGGTATTTGAAAATGAGAAATAAATAAATAAATAAAGAAAGAAAGAAAGAGAGAGAGAGAGAGAGAGAGAGAGAGAGAGAGAGAGAGAGAAATCTAGACCGA